TGTCACCGACTCCGGATACCCCACCATTCCGGTCTGGAAAACGAGCTCTCCGGCGATGCTCTTCTGGGCACCGAAGCTGTAACCCTGGTAGACGGTGCCATCGGGCAGCTCCAGAGCCATGAGGCCCTCGTCATCGGAGCCGACAATGCGGGCCGCAGCCGGGGGGTAGACGGTGAGCGACATTTTCGGTTGTGGAAGGAGGAGTTTCTTCTGGGTGATGCGGGGCACAGAGAAAATTGACGGGTGAAGAAACTCTCGGAGGGAAGAGGGTCTAAAGCAACAACGATGTGAAAGAAAGAAGTGCTAGAGAAAGTGACAGCAGCGAGCTCGTCAAAAGAGTCTCGTAGGTTGGTTCTGGAGCTCCCCAGCGATCATCTGCCACGATAGATCTTCGGGAAGTTATGCGAGTTTCTAGACAACCATTGTCGGAGAAAGAAAAAAGGAAAAAGAGAGAAGAAGGAAGAGAAGAGCCAAACAGCAGGACCCAAAGACTTTTACCTTGCTCTGACAGTGAGAAAAAAAAATTCATCTGGTTACCCCCCTCCTCCATCCTCAGGGCCGTCCCTCGCTGGGGGAGGAATTTAAGAGTGGATTGACCAATGATACAGGCAAAATCCCTGGACGGTGGAGTCCCGGCTACGTTGACACAGATCTGCAACTGAAAAATTACGGCTTGTGCTTCACCGAAATCGCAGGCGGTCAGTTATCAAAGGTCTAGCGCTATCTACCAAGTGGGCAGAAAGTGGCAGAAAATGGCGGTAGGTTTGGGTCATTGCCGCTTCTAGCCATAGGGCGGGGAAATTAGCCCCGCGTCACCAGCACCAAAATTCACCAATGCCACCAACAGCCCGCCCGGATGGCTGAGGTTGCAGAATTTTGTCGGTCTTGTCCCTGCAGAAATTTCTTTCCTCACCTCAAATTCACCTAGCTTGAGTGGCCAGTGGTGAAGAACCTAAAGCTGTGAGAAAACGGTGGCTGGCCACGAGTGGACCGGCCGCTTGTGAATCACTTCCAAAATTGGCCGAGTCCACGATTGGAATGGACCAGGCTACTTGCAATAGTATGTCCCCCAAATAACCTTGCAAATCGATACCTTGCGATCGATGTAGTGATTTATTACGAAGGCGTACCTAGGGCCTTGGGCTTACAAGCGTTTGGTAGCCGTGGCTCTTTTGAAGCATTGATGTGTGTGCTGGCTTGTAAGCTTATTGCGTAATCACTTCCATGTTACTACGTACTAAATATGGGTGGAAAATCCGATTTTGACCTGCGCACACCGGCCAAGGTGAGAACAGCTCTCACCTGTTTTCACCTGGCCATCGCCGATGCCGGTGCTGAGTTTTTGGCGGGGCATTCCTCTCGATTTGGGGTAGGTATGGGCAGCTGGGGCAACAACCCACCCCCCCGACTGGAAAATGCTTCGGATTCATCGAGACCTCGCAATGTCTAAATACTTTGCTTACCACATAGTTTCACTCTGAGTAATCACACCTTAGTTCTTTGCTTGAAAATTGGCCATGAGAAAATCCAGATTGGCAATGGCCACTGGTAGAGTGTTACGCATATGTATCTCGCCTCAATGAGTAAATAAGCCGTCGCGACAAAAAAAAAAAAAAAAAAACCACGGTGGTGTTTAAACCCATGCTTTGCGTTTTACACGGCGCCAATTCGAGTCCAGCCCCTCATTAAATACCATTTTTGGAGCATCTTTGGAGAAACTCTCGGCACCTTGTATTAAGGAACGGACAATGCGGATGACTTGACGTACTTGCACGTGCCATACTTATGTCTTATACTGGTTGATCGGAATGTGATATTCTCACTAAGTAGTTGAAATAAACGGCAACTGAGTGTTGTAGCGTGAGTAGGCAGGTCAAGTGACGGAAGATGACATTCCATTGGACGCTTCTAATGGACCCCACGGATCTCACCCAGCACATCATCTCTGACAGGGCGGCTCCCCTGTAAGCAGGACAGCTTACTAGCTGTACGAATAAGCAGGACAACTTCCTAATACGCAGTAGCTGTAAGCAGGACAGCTTACTAGTCTCGGAAGAGCCTGGAGCATGAATGCTTGGCTAAGCCAGTTGGGATTTAAGAGGTCGAAAGGAGCCAAAAAATGGGAGCAAGAACACAGGCCGGCAAGGTGGAGGCTTGACTCGTGAGGCTTGTACAATGCGAGGGAATTTGCGAAATTTGCTGTTGCCGGGCCTGCAGATTTGCGCTGCGGTGTGGTCAATTGGTGGAACGCATAGAGTTCGCGATACTGGCCTGGGTATGGCGGCCTCTACCCTGCAATATCTATTCGAGATCTGAATCGACATAAATCGCCGATGGCCGTGTTGGTCTCAATGTAACCTGGCATGACGGGCGTCTGCTGAGATTCCGTGCATGGCTTGGACGAGTTGATGAGAAGCACACCAACCATCTCATTCTCTCCAGAAGGATTTCGGCAACCTTGTGTAAGTGCGAGCTGTGTGAAGGTATCGTTGAGTCTTGTCACACGTACTATGTTCTTGAGCCAAATGTTTTGTGCGCCTGCCTCAACTTCAACTCAAGTAGCTGTGCCTCTGATCGCTCTCGGGAACCAAAACAGTGCAAACGGGAAGCACTCCCTTCCCGTTCTTTGAAGGCGGGATTGCCACCACAAGAAGAAAAAAGGACTGGAGGAGTAGCATGGAGTAGAAACGACAATGGTGTGGAAGCAGGGGCCCGTCGAGAGCAAAATCCCGGCGGTGTCCCCCAAATGCAGCGTCGCACCCTGGGCCAGAACAGGTGCCATCTGTGCATCCGTGTGTGTGGGATGCCAATGGCGGTGACGGCCCCCGTAGGCCAATCAAGCGAGGGAATGGCTCGAGGTGTGCTGCTGATCCTGTGGGGGGCTTGAATTCTTGGAGCTGGAGGATGCAACTCAAGCTTCACTGTTGCGACTCTGGGGCTCTCGAGGTGAGGTTTGCTTCACTGGTTGCTGACCGACTCGCCCTGTTTCTCCTGCGAACTGTGCTAGTTTTCAGGCTAGCGGTGGAGAGACATGTCGCATTGGTTTTGTGACTGTCTTGAACTGAGGATGCCGAGTGAGGCGTTGTGATTCAATTTTGGAAAGCAACGGAGGAGAACCGCGAATCGACCCATGACAAGGGCCCAGCCGCCCAGGCCAGTCAGTATCCAAGCATCGTGTGTCACGCATGTCAAGTGACGATGCGCGGCCGCGGATGCAGCCTATCTGCCAGGTCGAATTTTTGAAATTGGTCCACGCATTGAATGGCAGCTTCGGCAACTCTTGGGTCTGCTTGGTACGTCTTTTTGTTCGATCCCCTTCTCATTCTCGCCCTTTGGCTGCCGAGTGTAATTACATAGCCTGCCGGTTGTTGTAGAGATGACCATAAAGGATACTGGGAGAAGAAGGAGGCTACGGATGTTGATCCGGACGACGTCGGGGAGGAAGCCGCAGATACAGTCGTGGATGCAGAGGCACGAGAGGCAGACGCAGGCACCTGTACCTGTGTGTCTGGCGGTCGATTGTCTCTTGTCTGACAGAGCGGGACGGGGACGGGTGTCTGAGTGCGTCGGGTCTTCGGAGTGTTTGGCGCTTGTGTGTCGGGGTCTCCTTCTTTTTCGTCCTAACAAAGTCATGCGGTTGCATGTCTCGCCCGATTTTCATCTGATGTCGTCGTCGTCGTCGTCTTCCGTCTTTACTTTTCTCGTGTATGTGCGTGCCTTTGCAGAAATGTGGCTTAACTGACATGTTATTAGCATGCATGTGCAGTGTATTACAGAGTATGCCGGTATGGTATGGACACGGATACTGGGGGTTTTTGATTCGGAGACTCGGCAATATGTATCCCTTTCCCCCCCTTGCCCTTTGTTGTTTTGATAGCAAAACACGCCTGGCTGCACCAAAGGCAATTAGTAGTTGGTAAGTTGATGCGACGGGAGTCTTGCAAAAGACCTGCAAAGACTCGGGCGGTCTACGTACTCGTGCTAGGGAGGTAGTTTGGCGTTAAAACGTCTAGGCTGGACGATGGATCGGCTTTCAGGGTAGCAAACGAATGTCGACACAGACATGGAGCTCCCCCGGGCCTTTTTTTGATTGTGTCATTTCGCAGAGCGGACTGGCCCCGGTGCGTACCCAGTTGCGGTGCTGCGGCGATGCGTGAATGTGGACGTGGGCATCATGAAGTTCCGGGGTGTATGTGCTAGGATGAGGGAGCACTTGCAGCCGCAGGCTCAGGAAGCTTCCATTGGATTTGGGTCCTGCCTCCAGTTTTCCCACTCCGGTCTCCAGTGCTCTTTCCAATTGACCACTGACCAGAACGCTCTTGCAAGTTGAGGTGAAGCAGGAAGCAGCAAGTCAAGCAGCAGGCAGAGGCAGGCAGAGGTGGGCGCATCTTGCCTGACGCACTTTCCATTGTGGCGCATTGGCAGCGTTGGAACCCCCCACTTTTTAGAGGCCAACTTCCCACGCCCAGGGATCTTGCGCTAGCCCATTCCTGACTCTCGAGCGGCCCAGGCGTGCCAGGCGAGAAGCTCTGGATCTTGGATGCCCCGTTTACTCACTCCATCACTGCCACTTTTGTTCACTTCCATTCGATCCTTGGAACTTGGAAGGGCAAGCCCAGCCTGCCACGATGCGAGCGAGAACCACGACATTTCGCGACGCTGCATCTCCACTCGCCCCAGTGGCGCGCCGCGTTTCCTTTCCTTGATCCTCACCTGCGCACTTTACACACGTACGGCATACTTCCATGTGTGTGCTCATGTTCGGTTGTTGGTAAGTTGGTTAGGCTGTGTGGACAAGACATCGGATGGTGGGTGGTAAACGGTCTTGAATGGCTAAAACCCAGACTCCTTATCGCAGTCTCTCCCCTGTGTCGCTATCGTCACAGGTTATGATTTCCTCGTTGCAAGAGGTCATCGATGCAGGCCATCTTGCTTCGAGGTGCTTCGCTTCTGGCCTGCATTTGCAGCTGGGGTGCATACCTACGTACATACGGAGTACCATGTACGGATACGTCCCATACCTTAGCGATTCAAAGTATACGTGCATACGGATACTTGGAAATATATACATACCTAGACAGGAGGTGAACATCATCCCATACATAGATCCATACCTTACTCGGAACGGATACCTTACGGGCATCCTGTTACTCGCCTGTTCCTTGCCTTCCCGTCCCCTACCGGCGTCGACTGCCTCATGCAGTATCACTCGCCTTTTAGCACTCTACCTGTCCGACTACGCTAAAAATCGCATCGTCCTCGTAAGAATCTCGATCCGCGCTCCACGCGCCTGTTGCTTGCCCGTGTCTCTTCCTAACACTCGCCCACGTCCCTGTTGCTCTCTTTACTTTCCAAGGATCAGTGTCTTTGCTCCTTGTCACTTGGTCTTGCTGTACATCCCTCTTCCTGGTCTAGAAGAAAGGCTCTTGGCCAGCTTCCCCACAAAACAGTGCATCGATTTCTTCGTCTCGACCACGGGGAACCCTACTGGCCTACCAACCTGCCTGTCCAGCACTTTCTTATTTACCATTGTGCTCGGCCAGTCTATTCCGACCTGACTTCAATTCCTATTTCCTACCCTCCTCGCCGTGCTTTGGCCTGGTGTTGCTCCCAACGACTTCTTTTTCTCTCGCTCTCTTACGTATCCCTCGAGGATTACCGCAAACCGACTCGAAACGAACTCCTGTGTTTACGCGAAAACGAACCCCCCACCCCTTCTCCTTCCCGCGCACTCTCGAATCGTCTCCTACCCTTCCTCTATGGCGCCGTAGGACACGATAGCATAAGGCGGCGGGCTGCATTTCATCCCCACTAGACAATGTTTTCCTCTCTGCTTCGACCCAAGCAGAACAATCGCAGCCGTCGCGTCGACCGATTTCACGATAGGCAATCCCCTTCCCCTGGCCCTGCCTATCGCCACTACGTTGGCGAACCACCACGACGCGCAACCGGAGACTTCACTGAGGCCGAAGATGACGACGAAGAGGACGAGGACGAGGACGAGGAGGACGACGGCCTAGGCCAGTCAGGGGACGACCACGACAACGTCGACGACGAAGATCGCATCCAGCGCTCCTTGCCTGTCCTTCCTCTCTTCTCAGAGACATATCTCGGTACAAGACAACCAGAGGCCCTGCATGGGCTACCCCTATAAACTCATGACCTCAAGCTGACCGCAAACCTACAGATTCCTTACCCATCTATAGCATTACCCACGCGATTCGCATCATTGTTCAGACCCGTACCGAAACGACGTTATCATGGGACCAAATACGCTCCCCCCAAGTCTCCCAGTTCCTGGTCAAGCCTATGCAACAGCAAATCAGGACTCAGCAGTTTAACCGCGCCACCCTATACTGCCTCATGGCCAACTGCCTGCAGTTCAATAAGGAGGCCCAGATGTACCCAGGGAATGCTGGAAACAGCTCTACCAGGGCTCTGGTTTGCGAATTGTTGGCTCTGAAGCTCCTGAAAGAGTACAACACCCGTGAGCTGATCGACGCTCTATCCTACGATTTTTACCCCCTTCAGGGCCTCCCTGGCGCACAGCCAGCAAATGCACCGAAATCGGACCCAAGGACCAAGGCTCGCCTTACCGCGGCCCGGACCTCGACACTCGAGGTTGCTATTCGTGCTTCTGCCAAGCACTTCCTCGCACACCCTCTGGTGGTGCAGCAGTTGGAGGCTATCTGGAACGGTGCCATCAGCTTTTACTCGTCTGCAGACAGCTTGCACAGAGAACCCCCTTCTTCGCCTGGTGGTCAGGGCAAGCCCGATTCAAGAACGCCGCTGCTTGGCGGCAACAGCCAAAAGGAGGGCCAGCAGCCATCAGTACCGGGAAGAAGGAGTGTGGTTCTCTATGATCCTCGCCAGGCGTCCCTCTTCAAGCTCTCACGACTTCGCGTACCGCGCTATAGGTTCTTTCTCTCGACGCTGTCACTTCTCGTTCTCATCGCCCTGTTTCTTGCTGTCTTGGCCCAACGTGCAGCGCGGATCAGCTCGCTGGAGCTGATATTCTGGTTTTGGAGTGCCGGTTTCATGCTGGATGAGCTTGTCGGGTTCAACGAACAGGGGTTCTCGCTTTACATCATGAGCTTTTGGAACGCTTTCGATTTGGGAATCCTCCTCTTGTTGATCGTCTACTACTTCATGCGTGTCTATGGGGTCTTCCTCGTGGACGCAAAGCACTGGAATGACTCTGCCTACGATGTTCTCGCGGCGAATGCCATCTTGTTGCTGCCCCGCATCTTCAGCGTGCTGGACCATTACCAGTACTTCTCACAGCTGCTGATTGCGTTCCGCTTGATGGCCGTTGACCTTGTGGCCGTCACTGTCTTGATTCTCATCTCGTGCAGCGGCTTCTTTGTCTTCTTCACTCTGGCCGACGGTAATAACAATGCTGCTGACATCGCCTTCCGGATCTTCCAGCTCCTCATGGGCTTTACCCCGGCTGCTTGGGAACTGTGGCCAGGGTATAACTGGCTCGAAAGGGGCCTCATGGGCTTCTTCCTGATCATGTGTCACTTCGTCATTGTGTAAGTCAAGTCTGTCTCTAGCTACGGGCTGTATCTAACAAAGCCAGCACAATTCTCATTACGGTCTTGACCAACTCATTTATGAAGATTGCCTCGAATGCTAAAGAAGAGCATCAGTGAGTAATCAGACACGCCTCATTGAAAAAAATAGCTTCTAACAAAATCCAGGTTCCTTTTTGCAATCAATACTATCTCCATGGTCAAGAACGACGCGCTCTTTTCCTACGTTGCGCCAGGAAACATCTTCGCGTGGCTGTTGATGCCTTTGCGTTACTGCATGCCACTCAAGCATTTCGTCAAACTGAACAGAACAATCATCAAGGTCACGCACTTCCCTCTTCTGTTCTTCATTTTCCTGTACGAAAAGTACTGGCTCGCCCCGTCAATGTACGAGCCGACGGATCTTGTCGAAAATCACCACCACCACGGCCGGGATCGGACAATTTCCTTTGCAGACCCGGCAAGTCGATCTGCTCTTTTCAGCCCTAACGTGCGCGTTCGCGAAGAATCCATCACTGGCTATCAGAAGGATCATGCCTTGGAGGAGGTCTTCCGACGAGGTCCTGGCCTTGCGACTCTGCGAAACCAAAGGCGGAACGAGAGAAAGAAGACCCAGCATGCGGTCCGAAACTGGATGGACCGTAATGACGAGGAAGAACCCTCCCCTCATCTCCAGCTTTCCCAGTGGCCGACCCTGGAGAACGGAAGCACAAGTGCTCGGCCAGATTGGCATAGAAGGCTCAGCCTCTCTAGAGAGCTGCGGACACAGAGATCTCGTCAGATATCAGATGTCAGATCTGCGGCTAGCGACCCTGCAGAGTTCGTCTCACAGCCTGCCATCGGCTCCTTCTTCCGGAATGTTGTCGCAGCGGCTAAAGCCAAGGAGGAGGAGAATCAACAAACGGATGCAGACGGCGACGATGAACTCGTTACGAATGATGAGGAAGAGGAGGAAGATATCGCAACGAACGCTGGCGACAGCCGTCGGGGGCCCGTCATACACCAAACGTCGATTGACGATTACTTCAATACGACGCCTAGGACGAAGGGGTTTGTACCACCCCCGGCATCTTCATCATTGGGATCAAGTGGTAGGCCCTCCGTATCGGTTACTCCTCGATCTGCGCGTCGCATGCCACACAGCCGGACAATGTCAACAAACACGATTTTGTACGCACCGCAGGAGTTGCGTCGGCCGCCTAGCTCATCCTCTCATTCTTCGCCCGAGCCACCGCCTACGCGTGCGCGTGTGCAGAATGGCCGCCCTACAGTAGTTGAACCGGCTACGGCTGGTGGCCATCGTTCCCCTCGCCGGCAAACATATGTCACCAACACGCGGCCAAGACCTATCATGCCACCAAGGGATGCAGTACAAACGGCGCCGAACCGAGCAGCTCTCACGGGTATCGATCAGCGCTTACAGCGCCCGAACCCCCTTAGAAGGTTGTCTTCGGTTGACATGAGCATTCTGTCCGAAAACATCGTTCCTGATGACCCAACGGGAGGCATGCCTTCAAGCTTCCAAACACAGATGGCCATGGCTATGATGAAGGACGCACGACTAGGCGGTGCGGGACGAGGCCAGGATGCCGGTGACAGCAACCGGATGAGCAAGCTTGTCCTGGCGCGCATGAAGACCTTGGAAGAGAGTTTCGCAGACGTCGCGAGGGAGCTGCGCGGGCTGAAGACGACGTCCAACTCGACGGCGCCTACTACTCGCCGCAACTCATCAGGCGAGGAGCTGCAAAAGGTTGCAGGGCTGACAAGCCCCGAAATCGCAAGACAGAAAGAGGGAGGCGGCGATAGACCAAAGATGGTGAGAAGAACGACGGGCAAACGCCCGGCCAGCCGTAAGAGCAATTTGGGCCCCTTGGACAAGCCAAAGGGCAAGGGTAAGGAGCCGGCACACTCATCAGGCGACGAGTCTGACAGCGAGGGTCCAGGTATGGGACCGACGAAGCGAAGCTCAATGTAAAAAGGGGAGGGGAGTCGCGGTTTGAAAATTTTGCTGGGCATTTTCCGGCGCGCTATACCAAGGTCATGGTTGGTGATTACCGGCATCCGCATCGCTGGGGCGTTTGGAACCAAGAGAGACGATTTTTGTTTTCCTCCCTCTGGAGGTTAGTTGTATATGTGCATTATTGTTTCCCCTGCCTTTCTTGTTTCTGTGTTATTTCTTGTCTTTTTTCCGAGGCATGCCGCATATACATCGTTAGCTGGCTGCGATTGCATTTGGACATGTGGATGGAGTAATGATTGTGGAATTTTTGGTCTGTTCTTTTGATAGATCTGGTTCTGGATTGGATCTGAGTGCCGCCATCCCACTACAGATCATCCAAGTCTCCTGTATTCATACTTTACATAAAAGTTCAATTTGATCATCGCCCCCCATTGATGTGCTCCTCAGATACAGCCGTTTAAGACTGAAGGTTGTTTGCAGCATGTTGTTTAGGTTGAGGTGATGAGTTGTGAGGTACGCCGTGACAAATATTCATTAAGATATGTGATTTCCCAGTTTCCCCTTATACCGAACCATTCCGTGTCTCGTAACCGTTTGGGTATATGGTTTTGGTGTTTGTGTTTTTTCTTCTTTCTTTTTTCTTTTTTTCTTTTTCAAACTCGAGGGTTTTTAGACTCTAGATCCCGCCGCCGCTCCGGTCGACGCTGACGTAGTAGGGATTGCTGGAGCACTGGTTCTGGTCGTTTGTTCTCCGGGAGAGGGCGGTGTATCTGAAGCTTACGGCGACGGCTGTGACGGCTGCGGTTACGACGATGAGGCCTCGGTGGCGGCTGTGTGTGGACAGGTTAGTTTTCTTGTGTTGGATAATTCAATGAAGATGACGCAGATACCGGCGGCTTTTTGGGAGGAGGGAGGGGAGGGAGTGTGTGAGCGAGGAAGGGGGAGAAGACGTACATTGCCGGGCGGATCTGAGGGACGGGCATTGCGGCTTTGGGTTGCATGGTGACAGGTAGGTAGGTATGTTTTGCTGGACGGTAGCTGGATGAGGATGGTTGATTTGTTCACGATGGGATTTTCACTTCTCAATGTGGTATTTCCAAAACTAGGTACATGGAGAATGAGCAGAAGATCGAGAAGGGGGTGTTCTCCAGTTAAGTAGACGGCTCGACGTCCTCGATAGCTCTTAGCCTCTTAGCTAGGTCCATCCCTAGCTTTGCCGGGGGGCGGCGGCGGCACACCAGCATACGTGGAGAGGAAGAGGGAGGGAGGGGAGGGGGGGGGGGCATCATCGGTAGACATACAAAGTGTTTTTGTTGGGGAAGGACGGGGAAGATGTCACTAGTGCCGCTTGGTGTGTGCGTTTGTGTTCAAAGGAAGCTTGGGGATCGGACGGCTGATAGGTGTTAGGTACTTATTACTAAGATGTAAGAATAGAGGACAAAGGAACTGGAACTGTAGCTCAGATCAGCAGAGTGTGAGTGTGTTTGTACCTAGACCCTGCCTGAAACTGACAGACTGACAGACCGGGGGATGGGAATCCTGAGAGGGGGGGAAATTTGACGAGAGGAACGAATGCCGTGGTATGGGTTTTGCGGTGCGGTCAAGGGAAATGGAAAGGGAACGGGAGATATTGCTGCTGCGAATAGGGAGAGACGGAAGCGAGAAGTAGAGGCAGTGTGAGTGGGTGGTGTGTTGGTCTGGAACCGGTGGCGATGGGTACCTAGTGGGCAGTGGTACGGTGTTTTGCTGATGGTGGCGTGTGAGAACTTTGGCGGGGGGGGGGAGGGAGCTGAAGGCACACGGAGACATGGAGGGGGAAGCGGGACACGCGACATGCGGGACACGCAGGTTGGCGGCGGGCGGTGCGGTATCTGATTTCTGGGGTCAGGGGATGTGATTGGGCGGTTGGGGTTTGGAGCTTGGCTGGTGTTGGGTTGGAAGCCGAGCCGAGACCTTGTCTATGGGGTAAATTGATACCTGCGCCCAGCTACCATTATCCTGGGGACAGGGTTGCGTGGGAGGCACAGGTTTGAAGAGGTAATGGCGGTCAGGGCGACCTGAGTGATCGAGGCATAGACAGAAGACTATGACGAAGCGTATCTGGGGATGTGAATAAGACTGAGGATGTAAGAAGACTGGGGATATATTGGGGACGTCGAATGGAATGCATAGTCGGACAAAAGGGAGATGCTTTTTCACTGTAGTAAGATATGTGTAATACTGCTGCTAATGTACCTAGACTGGATGACTTTCTCGAGACGGCGCCAACTGGCGGCACGTGTGTGCAGCTAGACGCAAGTTGCGCATGCATCCAATGCGTGATGCGGAAGCATGCGCTTCGCTGGTCTGGATTGTTTGATTTTAGAGTTGGGCCAAGTTTCAGCCGACGGCGGGGGCAGGGAATAGATCTTGGAAACAATGCCACACTGATAAGAACACCACTAAAATCAGGTTATTGAGTCGATGACCCTGCCGAGTGCGGGGGAGCTCTGGGGAAACACGCAGCTCTGGAGTGAGTGCTCTGAAGCTTGAAGCGTCAAGCTGTGGAAATCAGGGAGGAGGAGGGGGACAGGATGCGTCGTGGATGTAGGATGAGAATGAGCATGAACTGACGATACTAAGTTTATGTACACCGACTGCCAATCGGGAATCCCCTAAAGCCAGGGAATCATCCTGTCCATTCCAACTTTTCTTTCCTTTTCCTCTCCTCTTTCGGAAGGGAGGGTGCTCGGATGAAGATGAATCAGTGCGGAACGACCCTTCTGGCAGCGGGCAGAGCTGCCCTACCTGAGGAACCTTGCTTCTGGAACAAGCTTTTCTGCGGGAGCTTCCTGAATCCTACCTAATGATGCGGCAATTAAAAATTTCGTGGGGTGTGAGTCAGGGTTGAATAAGCTTATCAACTTATGATTCATGAGGGACCCAGGTTTCGTCAATGTTATTACATTTCGGGGAGAGTGATATGGTTCTGACACGATCCCTCGGAATGTTACCTCGGCAGCCGACTTTTGGGGCAACGGATGAGTGGGGCCGGTATTCGGGGTCCGCTCCGGGGCTCAGCCCGACCTTCAAATTCTTGACCTCACCCATAGGTACGTGCCTTTCAGAATACCGCTTGCCTGTTTTGCAAATATTTAGATCCCCAAATGTTCAAATCAGACATGGAAGCAACGTATCAGCATGAATTGGAAAAAGCTGGCTCCTGACCATCCAGTTCACGGTGAGTTCGTAGAGCTGATCTGGAGCATTATCTGGACCAGATCAGCTCGAATGAATCCCTCCGTCGCTGTGCTTCTGTCTAGAAAGGTGTCGGGGCAGTCTTCTTGGCCTTGGTGATCTGGGTCATGATCTCCTCTTCTTCTGAAGCAATTGCTTCCAGATATTCTGGCTCGTTCTGGACGAGCACATCACTCAGAAACTCTTCGATGGTTTCCGCTTCAAGGCTGATTCCTTCGGGATCTTTCCGAAACAAGTTTTCCAATTTCTTGAAGAATCCCTCGACAAAGCCTTGCATAGTCTGGCTTTGCTGCAGCCATGCCTTATTCTTGGCGCCGCTGGGAGCCTTTCCTTCGTAGAAGCCGTCTACAAGGGCCTTCCCCATCTTCTTGAACTCTTGATTCGAGTGGTCTTTGGGATTGTTTTTCATGTATTTCCAGAGTTCACGCTTCTCCGTACGACACACATCTTCAAGTTCCCTGGAGGTGTTTTGAGGTCGATTGAGACACAAAGAAATCAGTCACTCACGGAGGGCAGAAATGTCGGCCATCTCGCGCATGAGGAACTCATCGATACGAGCTGCTTCCTTTCTGTTATTCTTGACCAGATGGTCGTCAATCATTGCAAAGATCATGGCGTGATCAAAGTGTTTATAGTCGTCTGGCTTGCCCATCATTTGATGGGGACACCAATCGAGCGGGTCGTTCTCTAGAGCCTTCTTTGTGTTCGGATTCGAGTCCCACGACAAGCCGCGAGCGACCCTTTCAAGGGGTACGCCAGGTCTCTCAGGCAGGCTGTAGTGTTTCGCCTATCCTACAGACCAGGGCATGAGAGATTTGAAGCGGTGAATCCGCTCCAGGGCTTGAGTGACGAGGAGAAGCTCCAAAGCGCCCAGTGCCCGGTCGTACTTAGGAGGGATCGGCTGGCCGGGATGCGTACTGTCTGAAAATCTGTCGTGTAGGCCCCGCACATGCTTGCACTCAATCTCAATCCAGTACCACCAGTAGTATCTGGTATACTCCGTGTGGATGTATCGAGCCACCATCATTGCCGCGTCCTCGGTATCCAACACGCGAAAGAGCGTGTTGCTGAAGAGACCGTTGATGTGACGGCGAAGATATGCTGGGTCGCACTGAAGATCGATGAGATGGTCGATAGCCTCTTCCTTGCGCGTCTGGGCCATGGATACCATGCATCCCATGTTGAGCTTGGGAGGCCGAGAGAAAGCTGGGTTGGTGTAGGGAGACCAGAGCTCGGTCTCCCCCGGGTGTCGGAAACCGATCGACGTGAGGTCCCTCCACCTATCCGTCTTTGCACTGGCATCTGCAGCATTTGCACCCTCGAGAATTTCGTCCGTGATTCTGGAAAGCGCGTCCATGAGGAAGGCTTGGGCCTCAAGTAGAAGTCGTGCGCGAGGAAAGCCCAGAGTGTATCCGGAGTGCGCCCATTGGGCGTCCCAGTCGACAACATCGCCTTACCGTGGTCCGGACATGACGACGCGCTTGGCAGAGAGTTCGACGTCAAAGTATCCATAGGCCCATGATAATTCCATCTGACGACAGTCTAGCGGAGCGAAGTCCTCTGGTGGATATAGAGTCCGATAATGGAGGAGGGCGAACAGGATGGCCGGGCTCGTCTTGAGCACCTCGACATTGAGCCTTGGAACCAACAGCTGGCGTCGCCTTTGTACAGTTCGCTCACCGTACCGAAATTTTTCGTCGCTATATACGTATCTGGAGTTGATCCACTGCGATTCCTCCAGCTCAGGCACGGCCTTGTGCAGCAGCTCGCGACGTTTTTCCTGGCTTCGCTTCCGCCAACGGCTCATAAGGGGATCAGCATAGGAGCCAAGTCGATTGGTGATGTGCTTTCTGCTCTCCTGAAGTGCTTTGACGTATGTAGACGCTGTTTTGATTGCAGAGGTATCTGAGATACTGTGATGGTAGGAGTGGCTGTACGTACGCTGTTCGCTCTCAGTGTAGTACCCCGTCTGACAGTCGGGGCAGTCATGTGGCGGTGGTCGTATGGATCGTTCGAATTCTCCTAAATTGCATAGCCAGCCCTCCGGTACTTTGACGAATCTAGGGCGTGTATCCGACATATGTAAGTCAAGTGGATGCGGTATCATTCATCGATGTAGGACTTTGTAAAGTTGAAGGCAGAGGCGCGCTGAGGATCCCCAATAGTTGCGTGGCCGATAGAGCGATAGTTGTCGGGGGCGTTTGGGAGAAATTCTGGTGATTGAAATGAAGAAATTTGAGGAGTCGAAGTTGTAAACTTGAAGAAGATACTTGAATTCTTTTTGGAAGCCCGGAGTGCTGTAGTTAAGGTAGGTAGCCATCAGTCGGACGGCTTATTACCGTTGGAAGCTGAGGCATCTAGTCACCGGACAGTGAATGGGGCCATTCTTCTGGATTCTTCATCATCTTGTCTACTGTGTGAGCTGTCAGAAGGATTCTCTATTCAATGCCGTACAGATGAGGTACTTGCGAACATCCATCGGTATTAGAAGGGTTCCAGCACCATTACAAGCTCCCAACAATAGATATCAATGTATTAAGTATGGGAAACCGTTGAGGAACAGCCGTCATTACATCACATCGATACGCTTCAAACATCAGATCTTGCCCTTGTCCTTTGTTCTGACAAGCGGTCAGCTGAGGTGCTTATGATGCCATGCTGTCGTTTGCCAGACAAAATGGAGCCCACGCTCAGTATGAATATACAGTGGAGGTGGTATCTCTCCGATGCATCTTTCAGTCAGGCAGGATAGATCTTCCCAACAGAAGGGATTGGATTATGTTCTTCTTTCAAGAGTCGCTTTGTCAAGCCCGTCGGTCTGGAAGTGGAGCCAAGCAGACCGGACCTCCAGCTCTTGGTCCACACAGCGCCGGCCGGCCGGAACGGAGCTGGAAGCTGATCCCCGGGCGTGGTATTTGGAGACACCTCAGGTAAGCACAAGGTACGTCACCCGCTTCCCCCACTTTTGGCCACCCGAGCAGGCAACAGCGGCACGGAGGCTAAAGTATCGATGAGTCTTGGGAAACCTTGGTTATGTGCGGTGGTTTTTAAAGAGGTCGCCTTACTACAAAGCCACGAGGAGAAGATACTTTGTCTATTCCCCCCCCAATCTGTTGATGGTAGGCCTGCCAGTACAATAGGGTGACCCTTTCGTGGCTTTCTTCAATTACTGCCTGGTTTGGGCTGATAGGCGCCCACCAACCCTATCCCGCATCGCCTTCATTTACTTTGAAGAGGAAGGGGAACAGAAGTGTGTTTGGGGTCCGCTGTTAGCCGTCTTCTGTCGCCTAGATTGGCCTCTTTTTGCACTCACCTCTGAAAGCTCTGAAAGACTCACTGGCTGTCAATGGTTCCTCTCGGTTTTATTGTATGTGGCCACTCCGGAAGGCTGGGAGCTTTGTCCATCTTTATGTACCTTAAGTACTGGAAGTAATGCCACAGCTGTATCCCTGCCCCTCACAAGGTGTAAGCCGAGCCAGATCAAAGCACCTCAACATACCAGTCATGTCTGCACCCGCAGTAGAGTCACTCAAGTCACGAGTTGCCTACCTAATACCTGGTCATCCAGTCATCTTTCTCGTTCCCGCAGTCTACTCACCGTACCCAATGTCCGAACACTTGTACCTAGTTTGGTAGAAACCCACGTTGGTTGTCTGCATAACTCCTAGACACGGTCTCATGTCATCGGGGCACAGTGAAGGTACCTTTTCTTACCCCTCCATCCATGCTTCTCATATTCCTGTCAACCTTCACTGTCACAGCTTCATTCTTTTCCTCCTGATTACATCGCATTCTCGTTGCCCAAAAACCACCATCATACAGCATCGCAATTCATCAGGTGATTCTCGCGAGCGGCTTCTCTCCAGTCATCTCCTCTTCGACGCTCTTGGTAGGATAGCCGCGTGGCTGAGGCAGCCGGCGGTGTTTGGAACCGCGCTGAGTGGCATCTGACTCCCTGGGACCTTGCTGCCTGGACAAGGCTACGCACCCCCGCCAATCTTCATCTTTGGGTATCCAGACTGCGAACTGGCGGACTTGTTGCCTTGCGATTCTTCAACTCTTTTGACCACGCTTTTTCGCCCAGCTAGTTTCGATTGCCAGAGAAGCTACTCATACCTTTGGTTGCTACTCTAACTTCGACGTCGTCAACCTCCCGGCTGCTTTGGTGTCAATCATCATCGGTGTGAGAGCTCAGAGGACCAGATCCTCATCATCTCAACATTAACTCAGTTCCCGTTGCCTATGTCCTGATCTCTTCGCAGCAATGGCCTCGGACGAGAACAAGGCGCCACCAGCGGCTGCAGACAACGATTGGTCACCTGTAGTCATGGACTGGTGGGAGGCCCCTCAGGACGGAGATCAAGAAGAAAGCCGGGGCGGTGCTCAAGATGAGCCCGATCGCGGTGTCACGTACGTTGGGCCTCCGCTCCGAGAGCAAGCTGCTGAGGAGCCTTTGCTTGAGCGCTTGGCTACAGAGCTATTTCCTATAGCAACATTCCGTGAAGGAACATCTCCTGAAGAGACAACTGATATCCCGGATGCCTTTGCAGTCGTTGATGTCCCGTCGCAGACACTCGATACCTTCAGTAACTTTGTACGATCGCAACAGGGACCACGCGCCACTGAGAACAACATGCCGCACAGTCAGGCTCGCCGATACTCCCAGTTCCTTCTCCACGACATTCAGAATGAACTCAACGAAGGCGATACCTTGATCTTCGTGGACTTCCCTGCTCCTGCGAACCCAGCAGACAGCGTTGATTGCTTCATCTACGCATGGAACTCGGTCCGATTTCGGATGCCCTCTGAGAAGCTCCTGGCCACTGGATCCTCCAAGTTCGCGGAGATGCTGAATCCTACCTACCAATTCCGTGTCCAGCGTCGGCGCAAGATTGCCAAGAATCTTCCTCCGGGCATCAAATACGTCTTGGACCTTACCCCTCCTTCCGAGGGCGATGATCTCGTCTTTCAGATGACTGAAGCCTCGCTGACACCGGGCATCATGAATTGGTGGACAGCTTTCGACAAGCACGATGTTGACGACTACGTCGTGCGTGGCCATGACGATATCTGCTCTTGTTGGAAAGAAGCAAAGGTCGATAGCTTCAACACGATCATCGACAAGATCTCAGCGAGCGAAGCGTCCCGAGACGAGAACAAGGAACGGGACCCAGAGATGGAGTACGCCATCAGTTCGGCTATCAGAGAGAGTCTGCGCGATGTCATTCCGGAGAACGGCAAGAATAAGGAGAGGCTGTACAGTGAGGACAAGGGATTGGCTGCCAGGGTTCTGGAGAAGAAGTCTAGAGGAGACTTTTCTGCTCCCGCAGGTCCCCCCTATAGACGCATCCCGGACTACTGCCCGATCCGCCATCGCGTCAACATTCTGCGCCTCATGTGCATCATTGCAAACAAGCGAGTTTTCATCGATTCGGCCGCTCGAGTTTGGACCCTGGTGGCAGTTGCCAAGATTTTGGACTGCACCACTGTTGTGGTGAGTTTCTTCGCCACCCTAATCGACTTTGTTTGATTCTAACATGATCAATAGCGCGATCTAGTTCTTCAATGGATCACGTCTCCCAACAATACCTCCTTCATCGAAGTGTTGCCCGAAGAGAGTCTTCAACTCGGTGTCGCCCTGAAGCTGGAGGCTGTCACCCGCTCAGCGTTCCGAATCCTGGTGAATGAGCTTGCTCTGGAAGAAGCCGCCGATGTGAAGGGAACGCCCAAAGCCGCAACCCACACCGTTTTTGGACGCAAGCGTCACGATCCCGGCGACGACTTGAACAACCTCATCCAGCACGCGGCCAGAGCCATGGTCGAGCGCGTCTCGTGGCCCGTCAACCAGCTGGTCAGCGAGACCATCTTCGACGATCTGCAAATTCCGGAGTGGACGCGGTTGCAGAACCTCATCAGCATGCTCTCGAGCTGCCCAGATGACCCCGTCATGGTCAAAGCCAAGGTCTCCGCGATGACGGTATCGTTTACGCTGAAGACTCTCTGGGAAAACCACGTGGTCTACAAGTTGCTTAGAAAGCCTCTTGACGCCGATGATCTCCAAAAGATTGACGACCACCGAGCCAGCTACGTCGACATTCAGAACTTTAACCGCTTCGAAATCATCTACAACCAGTTCAACAACGTGCAGAAGGCTCTGTGCACTTTCATGTACGAGACGGTTGGAAACAAATGGGTGTCTCTGTCCGAAATATACACTTCAAGCGCCTCGGGCCAAATGAATGTGTACAAGTTGGTCACGAACTTGTGGGACCACTTAAAGGAGGTCCTCGTCGCGCACCCCGAGTTCGCCTGGGACGGCGCCTGGATGGCCGTTCTGAACCTCCCTCGCCCCCTCTCCATGAAGAACCCGTTCGACACCCGCGAGTTGGATATGATGGGGGCCTACAGATACGCGTTCGACACCCGCGAATTCCAGAAACCCCTCCAGGACTTCCTCAAACCGTTCTACCAGGAATGCGTCCGTGCCGACTTCGAGATTAGGATGAACTTGACGCCGCACTTGCTGCTGAAGCTGCACCACAACGAGTTGAAGTTCTTGCCTCTCTGGGCCGGCGGTAACGACGACGGTACCGGAGGCGTGTTTGAACACTCCCTGCCTCCTGCCGATTATGGTCCAGCCGGTCCGGGACCAGCCTATCACACTGGTATCACGATCCCCTCGGATGCCTCGAGCACCTCGGGCTCGGTGAGCAGCGTCTTGAGACAGCTTCGTCTGGAGGGGAGCGGTAGCACCGTCGGACCTGGCAGCGTGGACGTGCAAGACGGCATCTCGACCGTCTTCAACCCGAACAGGGTCATCGCCGACGACGTCTCGATCCGCACAGAGTCCTTCACGGACGGGGGCTCGGAGTACGGCAACGCCAAGTTCGCCATCCCCGCAGACGGACAGTCTGTGGCTGAGGCCATGAGCACAATGGTACTCGATGAGAGTCACGACCAGTCGGACACGGGCACCAGCATCAACTTCGATACTGACGCTGACGAGGACGATGAGGTGATGACGGAGGTTGGTCCAGAGGACAGCCGCTCTCGCGAACAGACTCCCGAGTACGTCATTGA